GACCCCATCCAAAAATGGGGCAATGAAATGAACAGAAACTTTCTCAAAGAAGAAATCCGAATGGCAAAAAAGCACATGAGAAAATGCTCTACATCATTAATCATCAGGGAGATGCAGATCAAAACCACAATGAGATACCATCTCACACCTCAGAGACTGGCCTACATTCAGAAGAACAAAAGCAACCGATGCTGGCGCGGATGTGGCGAGAAAGGGACACTCCTTCACTCTTGGTGGGAATGTCGACTGGTTCAGCCCTTCTGGAAAACAGTATGGACGATTCTCAAAATATTAGAAATTGAGCTCCCATTTGACCCAGCAATACCACTCCTGGGAATATATCCCAGAGAGGCAAAAATGTATAGTCGAAGTGACATCTGCACTTGTTTGTTCATTGCAGCACTCTTTACAATAGCCAGAAACTGGAAGAAACCTGAATGCCCAAGAACAGATGACTGGTTAAAGAAACTTTGGTACATCTACACAATGGAGTACTATGTAGCTCTTAGAAAAGATGAAGTCATGAAATTTACATACAAGTGGTACAATATGGAAAGTATCATGCTAAGCGAAATGAGTCAGAAAGAGAGGGATAGACATAGAAAGATTGCATTCATCTGGGGGATATAAAGTAACAAAGTATGAGATTAATACCCAAGAATAACTGAGATCAGCACCAGGAGGATTACTCCATAACTTAGAGGCCAGCCGGGTATCCTAGAGGAAAGGGCTGTTCAGATAGAGAAGGGAGCACCAAATAAAGGATGTTTGGAGGATCCTCCCAGGAGGGGAGATGCATGTCGAAAGTAGACTATGGACTGAACATGTTTGCCACTCAATGCCTCTTTTGCAGACCACAACACCCAAAAGGAGAGAGAGAACACAGGGGATTTCCCTGCCACAGAGACAGGGGGGATGGGGGGATGGGGGTGGGAGGGATATTATCCATGGTGGTGGAAAATGGGCACTGGTGGAGGGATGGGTATCTGATCATTGTATAATTGAAACCAAAGCACAAAAAATTGTAAATCTACAACTTTAAAAAAAATAAAATAAAATAAAGGGAAAAAAAAAAAGAAAAGATGAAGTCATGAAATTTACATACAATTGTTACAACATGGAAAGTATCATGCTAAGCGAAATGAGTCAGAAAGAGAGGGATAGACATAGAAAGATTGCATTCATCTGGGGGATATAAAGTAACAAAATAGGAAATTAATAGCCAAGAATAGCTGAGATCAGCACCAGGAGGATTACTCCATAGCTTATTGGCCAGTCGGGCATTCTAGAGGAAATGGCAGCTCAGATAGAGAAGGGAACACCAAATAAAGGGTGTTTGGAGGATCCTCCCAGGAGGGGAGATGCATGTCGAAAGTGGACTATGGACTGAACATGTTTGCCACTCAATGCCTCTTTTGCAGACCACAACACCTAAAAGGAGAGAGAGAACACAGGGGATTGCCCTGCCACAGAGGCAGGGGGGGATGGGGGGATGGGGGTGGTGGGGATATTATCCATGGTGTTGGAAAATGGGGACTGGTGGAGGGATGGGTATCTGATCATTGTATAATCAAACCCAAGCACAAAAAATTGTAAATCTACAACTGTACCTCATGGTGTTTCACTAATAAAAAAAATTAAAAAAAATATTCAGCATTAAGAGTCAAAAATGAAAAATATACCCCACGAATTCAACCAAATTGAACTGAAATAATTACAAATGCACAAACAAGTCAGTCAGTGTGAGGACTGGGGTTGGGTGAGTCTCCCCGTCACATCCACGGTAGCTCTAATTTGGCCCCTGAGTTCTGAGCTCAGTAAGAGCCCTCAGAGCCAAATAAGAGACATGGACAAGAAGTGTTACTTGCCTTCCCATCACTGCACCTTGGGGCAGGGCCTCTTACCTCCACCAAGGACCCCAAGAAACCTATTGGATTCATACTTCACTAGATAAATTCTTATGTTTTATTAAAAAAAAGAACAGTAGAAGAGACAACTGCCTCACATCCTAACTGGATGTGTGGGGTCCAAGATATGTTTACACTCACGTGATAAAATGGGAGAAAACAATTTCTTTTAAACAACTTGGTTGGGGGGGGGGAGGCAACTTCCTCTGACCTTACCAGGGAGACCGTACAGGTGGTTGCTCGAGAAGTCCAGAGACTAGTCAGGAATTCGAGACAAACCTAGATAGTGGGCACACGTGGGGCCCTTGAATCTTGGCGACAAAATTCCATCCTTGTTTGACCCAGCAGTGCCCAGTCTGGCTGAAGTTCTCTTTCCAATTTGGTGCTATCGCAGTCTCTTCAAAACAGGGTATAATGCTGAGACGATTGACAGACTCTCTGGTGTGCAAAGCACACGACTCGCTGTAGCTCTGTCCTGGGGGTCCTGTCCCAGCATAGCTACAGGCTCAGGACCCAGAATCCTCACAGCCCTGCCCTCACCTGTGCTGTCTCCCCATTCTCACCCAAACCAGCAGTTTCCAGGGAGGCTGAATCCCAGAGCTCAGGAAGGAATGGAGCGAACAGGAGATGCAAAATGATAGGAACATTTCCTAAAGCATTTAGCTAAAACCCACTGGTAACATTATTTCTCCCCCCCCTTCTTATTGATTCACCGTGAGGCACAGTAACAAAATTTTCATGTTTGAGCTTCAATCGCACAATCATCAGACACTCATCCCATCACTAGTGCACGCTTTCCACCACCCAAATCCTCAGTATCATCCCCCCCCATAACCACCACCATTCCACACCTCCCCCTTCCTGTGTGGCAGACAATTTGCACAGTAATCTCTTTCTCTACTCTGGTTATCTTCAATATTTCAGACCAGTCCTACCACCACTCATACATGCTGAAAAAACCATGCTAGACAATGTTTTGTATTGCTTCGTTTGCCCTAGGAATTTTAAAAGTTTAATAATTAGGGTCTGGAGAGATTGCTGCAGCAAATTACGAGGGTCTGAGATTCATTTGTGTGTCTCTGGATCGTGGCTGTGTGGGAGCGTCAAGTACAAAGTGGCCATATATGGGCATCATCTCAGAGTCTCATCTGGGTGGGGGAAAGGAGAAAGGCTGACTTCTCCCCTGTCCTGTGAGGCCTGGTGTTTCCTGTCACTGCCACCCTGTACCTGGTGCTTTTTGCTGAGTTCTAGAAGATGGTGGAAGCCTGGATTCGTAGGGGGCAGGTGGAGGAAAGACACCTGCCCCCGCCTGGAGTGGCCCAATGAAAGTGGCCTATGGCAAAGTCAAGAGACATCTATGCAGTAAGTTGCTCAGGTCTGAGATTCATGTGTATGTGTCTGGATTATGGCCATGCTGGACTTTAAGTAGACAGTGGTCGATGTGGGTGTCACCTCTGAGTCCCATTGGGACAGGGGGAAGGAGATGAAAACGTTCTTAAACTGATGAAATCTCACTTTAGCTAAAGATTTTATTAACATGCTTTACTCTATATTCAGAACATTAAGGAAGATACATCTTTTTTATCAATCCTCTCATTCTCATTTTATGTTTTTTCTTCCTTACACATGTAAAGTAAGTCATCCTGGATCATAATTAGTAATTTACTAAAAGATAAAAGAAATGAATAAAACCATAAATCATTCATTTTGCATTTCTCATTATTAGACACTCCTGGCATGACAGAAACACTTTTATGATTTTGTTCTTGACAGCAATTTGGGCAGGTACAATGGAATTTGCATATGATAGCTCATGAGTGTCTCAAGACTTTATCCATTACCACTAGCTGATACACTGAGCACTACAGGGGGGACCAGGACACAGACAGGAAGTAAACGTGGAGAATGCCAGGTGTGGCCCCAAAATCAAAGAAAACACATATTGTCTGCATTTGGGTAAGAACAGGTTTTGATAACGATTAGATACCCATCCATTTTATCCCAATTTAGTCGTGTTGTACCTGGGCTGATAATGTGATTCTAATAAGAAATGTACCTTCACAGTTTAACTTTATTATTGACATTGAATCTATAAACCTGTTTCTATTTTCAAAGTGAAGAGGATTTAATTGCACATTTGTGATGTTGAACAGGTGACTTTGGAAGGTCAGCCAAACAGGAGAGCTGCCTCAGTGGTGTCACCATGTGATGGGAGGTGGGAATGTAGATACTAATCCCCAAGTTCCAGTGTCTCAGGAGGGTGAATGGAGGTTGAGGTTGGTCCACAATGAGAAATTCATTAAAAGTCACACCTGCAATGGTCTCTGTATGAGCCTTACTGTAAAAAGGGTCCCTGGGCTCTGGAGTGTGGCATATCTGGGGGTGGCGGGAAACTGGGGGCTCAGGGAGATGCTCTGTGTCCTTGTATCTTGTCTCACTGTGAAGGGGTCAGTGCTGCCCATGTCACGGGAGATGGTCTCTCCTCTACAAAGCGTGAGGGGTGGCGAAGGATTGGGGAAATCTGAATGTCCTCTTAGTGAGAGGGTGGAAGAGGAGAGGTCAGGCAGTTCAGGAGAACAGAACTCCCAGGTGTAAGGTGACCACGTAGAATCTATCTGGAAGCAGGTCAATTGGCACAGAGTCTGTCTGAGAGCAGAAGGAAGGAACCAGCACACAGCTAAGTGGACACCAGAATTTCTCTTTCTGATCAAGTGACTCTTACAGAAGACAGTGATAATTCTACAGGGTCATTTTAATTTCTACAAGAGAATAATGTGTTCCTCAGGCCCCAGAGAAGTCATGATCCTGTCACTGGAAACTTTTCATCAGGAAAGAGAGAATGTGATAAGTCACTACTACCCATAACGGGGATGGAGGCTCAGGGCCACAACCCACAGGACAAGGTGCCCATGGGGTCAGCCGAGAGGTGAGGGGCAGGACGGTCCTGATCTCCACAGAAACATGATTCATCTGTTCATGAGAAACGTTTCCTCAGGGGAGAGTCCTCAGAGCCTCCTGGGAGCCTGCGCCCCTGAAGCTCAGCCTGCTTCCTCCTGCAGGTGGTTTGTGTCTGGGCCCACAGGGCCTTCCCCTCACTGTGTGTTTCGCACAGTAGTACAGGGCCGTGTCCTCCTCCCTCAGGCGGCTCATTTGCAGAGAGACCGTGTTCTTGCTGTTGTCTCTGGAGATGGTGAATCGGCCCTTCACAGACTCAGCATAGTATGTACCAGCACCATCACTACTTATGCTTGAGACCCACTCTAGGCCCTTCCCTGGAGCCTGGCGGACCCAGGACATTGCATAGCTGCCAAAATTGAATCCAGAGGCTGCACAAGAGAGTGTCAGAGACCCCGCGGGCTTCACCAAGTCTCCTCCAGACTCCACCAGCTGCACCTCACATTGGACCCCTGCAAACACAAAGACATCCTGGTCAGGAAACTCTCCTCACACAGAGGATCTGCCTCTCCCATCTCTCCCATGCTCCATGTCTCTATCGCCCATGATTTACCTCCTAACAGAGCCACCAGGAGAAGCCAGCTCAGCCAACACACCATTTTGTTTCTGTCTGAGTCAGGATGGAGCCCCTGGGAACCCCTGAACTGACTCCTCTCCTGGAGCAGATGCTGGGCTGGCCTGTTTTCATCATAGCACAGAAAGGCTCATTTGCATATTCTCCTCCTACATAAAACATTCTATTTGTACCTAAAGAGCAAGTGAAGGACTCCAGAGCAACTGTCTGTTTCTGGGGGTGACTTATGACCCGGAAAAGATTCTCTCATGCAATTATTATATGAGGACCAATTTAATTTGTAATATTTTGTCCTTATTTTTGATTACTATCTTGTAATATTTACAGTGACACTTCTGTTTAATGTATCATTTGTCACAGAGAAGCTTAAATATCTTATAGAATTTTCTCATAACACATTGTAAGAGTTGGTCCTATTATTGAGACAAAAGAAATATACTTTATGACAGCAAGTTATAAATGAGTTGGGAACCCAGAATTAAAACAGAATCAGGAGTAAGGAAGAATGGCCAGATGGCACAGCTCTGATACCTGGGAAACCTGAGGCAGGATCCTGTGTCTGCTGTCTCTGCTGTTTCTCCCAGAGGAAACATTTCTGAGGTTAAAGATGTTTATCCTGATATCAAAGCACCTCGGATGTGTAAAAGCTTAGCTCATATAGACTAAGTCAGGCAGCTGACCTAAGAATGTCGTTCTTCTGATGACTCCTGGTTCTAAGTGAAAACTCTCACTGTTTTAAGCACTAGGAGCTCTCGGTTCATGAACATGTTAGTCTCCTGACCCTCCAGCCCTTCTCTCTTAAGTATGTCTTTAAAATACTCATCCCATGGCTTGTCCCTGTTCACCAGGATTGGTCCCCAGTAACAAGAGATGTAGATGAAGCAGAAGTGTAAACTTCTTCCCTTGCACTAGGTGACCAAGGTTCATTTCTTGCACTTCGTATGGTTTCACATGCCCCTACCAAGAGTGACCCCTGAGTACATAGCCAGCAGTCTATACAGAGTGGCACAACAAATAAAAACCAACAGGGACTGAAGGATAGCACTGGTAGGGCATTTGCCTTGCAACACAGCTGACCTAGGTTTGAACTCTAGTATCCCATATGCTTCACCCGGCAATTTCAAGAGTAATTACTGAGTGCAGAGTTAGGAGAAATCCCTGAGAAATGCCAGGTATAGCTCCAAAACCAGACAAAAACTCACAAATATTACCAAACAAAATATGGGCTAGCAGCTGTCAAGAATTTCTTACCTATAATAAGAACAACAAATTGTATTTATTCTGAATTTTGCCTTTACCTGGAGGATGTTGGAGACTAGTGTGCATGAAGTGCATGGGGTGTGACTCTTTACATCACCCCGACCCCACATCTCTTTCTTACCATGTCAATATTTGATTAACAGTAAAAACCACAGGAAGCCATGCCCTACACAGAATACTGATTATAGATCAGTAATATTTCATGAGTGTTGGCATATATGGACACCCGTGCAGTGATCATCACACCCAAAACAGTGGATGAACCCTTTACCCCAGAGTTTCTCCTTGGCCCATGGTATTCCTCTCCCCATACCTCCCCCCTCCCTCACGCTCTCTGCAGTACTTCCTGATTGTGTAAGTGAGTGTAGGGTGTGATGATGGAGATTCTCTCTCAATAGGCTTACACTCTAAGGATATATTGTGTGTTTTTACTCATGAATAAAGGCATCTTGGATTCCTCTCAGTACTGGACCTTTAAAATAGGTCACATGAGATTTCTGGAAGGAGGGAGAAAAATGAGGAAAAGCTGTTCTACATCTTACATGAGTATCAAAAGCTATCACGATCACGATCACGACCATCCTGTTGTTATCGATTGCCTCAAGCAGGCCTCAGTAACATCTCCTTCGTCCTAGCCCTAAGATTTTATAAAGCCATATTCAATGCTCTTTCAGGGTTAGGAGAATGAGACCCATCATTGTTAGTGGTATTTGGCATATTGAGTACGACACGGGAAGTTTGCCAGAATCTGCCATGTGGGCAGAATTCTTTTGGTAACCTGCCGGGTTCTCCAATGGAAAAATGAGATAATAAGATGTCAGGTGGCCGGAAATGTGGCCGAGCTTCCGGAAGCTGGGTTTTATATTTTCTGCATCTTAGCCATTGATGGGACCACCCTGGCGCTGGCAGCAGCTGGTAGTTGTGACGCCTACCTACTGGAAGATGGGGGATCTGGGTGGAGAAGGCCCAGTCCCAATCCGAGCAGGCTTGGAGATCTCAGCCCCGAGACCCACATGCCTGGGTTCCTCTGCCAGTTCCTTTATGCATGAGGCTTATCCGGAAGTGTGGAGAGTGGTCTCAGCATGGCTGTGGCTGGTTCTGGAGGTCTTTGGCTGCTGGGGCTCTGCTTGAGTGGGGACTCAACCCGCCTCCCTCCAAGGGGTCCCTGTGAGGACAGCCAGACGCAGGGGCAGGAGACTTTCAAAGAGAATGCTGTAAAAATAATAACAAACCAACAAAGTACCGATTAATACTCACCATACCAGGCATTGAAATCCGGGGGCCCTGATGGGGGTGAGTGTTGGGGACAGGAGGATAGATCACAGGGAGTGCATTGGGAGTGTGAGGGTATCACTGAGAGTGGAGCTGCTCTGGGAGCGATGGGGAAGGGTCCTAAGAAAGACGCTGGAACTGGGCGTGGATGGAAGTATGTGGGTTCATGGGGCTGAGTGTCTCTATGTTGTGACAGAATATTGGCGCATGTGGATTTCTAGCACATGGTGATCCTCTTTTGCCCCCTGGTGGGTCTGAGACCCTTTCCCAGGTGGCTCCTGAGTGCCCTCTGGTGGTCATCAGCACCCCTACAGTCACAGAAATGTTGAGAAAGAAAAAATTTACTTGTTAATTTAATAGTCTCTGGGTCTTGGCCATTGATGGGATTACCTGGTGCCGGGGGCAATTGGTGGGTGTGACCTCTGCCTGCTGGAAGATGGAGGATCTGGATGGAGGATGCTCAGCCCCGATCCTAGCAGGCATGGAGATCTCATCCCAGGGACCCGCATGCCTGTGTTCCTCGGCTGGTTCCTTCATGCGTGTGGAGAGTGGTCTCAGCATGGTTGTGGCTGGTTCTGGAGGTCTTCGGCTGCTGGGGCTCTGCTTGGGGTGGTGAGGGAAACTTAACCCGCCCCCCTCCAAGGGGCCCCGGCGAGGACAGTCAGGCACGGGGCCAGGAGACTCGGTTCAGACACTATAAAACCCAGCTCCCGGAAGAGAACAGCGCAGAGTCTCCTGAACCCGTGCCTGGCTGTCCTCGCCAGGGCAACCTTGCAGGGGGCGGGTTGAGTTTCCCTCCCTGCCCTGAACAGAGTCCCGGCAGCCAAAGACCTCCAGAACCAGCCACAACCATGCTGAGACCACTTTTCACACGCATGAAGGAACTGCCCGAGGAACACAGGCACGTGGGTCCCGGGGCTGAGTTCTCCAAGCCTGCTCGGATTGGGGCTGAGCTTCCTCCACCCAGATCCTCCATCTTCCAGTAGGCAGGGGTCACACCTACCAACTGCCCCTGGCACCAGGTAATCCCATCAACTGCCAAGACCCAGAGACTATAAAACCCAGCTCCCAGAAATTCAAGGCCTTGAATAGTAACAATGATGGGTCTCATTCTCCTAATCCTGAAAGAGCATTGAATATGGCACGTTTTAAAATCTCAGGGCTAGGACAAAGTCGAGACGTTACTGGTGCCTGCTCGATGCAATCGATGAACAACAGGATGATCATGATCGTGAACTTGTGAAAATCAATATCACTGTCAGTAGATTACTCTGGATGTTTGATTCACAGACCAGTAAAATTTCCAAGTCCCACTAAGGATCAGTATCCTTGAATATAGGCTAGGTATTTGATATTTTATGAAAATTTGAAGAATGCCTGTGAACAGAAATATAGCTTCTTGCAGTGTCTTTGAATTCAGTGACTTTGAATATTTTCTGAACATTTTTTCTCTAGTAAATAGATTTTTTTCTTTAAAGTGTGTCATATCCATGCCAATCAGGTTCCAAATGGACCAAAATCAGATGCAGGACAAATGAACTGTTATTACTGCCTCCTTCTAGGAACCTCAGCTCATCTGCCCCCTGTCTGGGGGGACACACCCTGGTGGTGCTGGACATTTGAGAATGGACCTGTCCTAAGGGTGAGTGATGGCGGGGCAGGAACCCGAGGTCACTTTGACTACAGGACGGATTAGTTATTATGGTGTTCTGATTCTCTGATGGACCTTACCCCCTGCTGGCCTCAGTGCCCCTTTCAGTCCTGAGCGCCCTCTGGTGGCCCTGGAAAGCCCTGCAGCCCAGCATGTTTGTGTCTGGGCTCACCCTGACTTCCCCTCACTGTAATACACAGCTGTGTCCTGGTGGGGAGGGGGGGAGTCACTGAGCGAGCTCAGCTGCAGGGAGAACTGGTTCCTGTTCATGTCTCTGGTGATGGAGACACAGCTCTTGAGAGATGGGCTGTAGTAAGTGTTTCCATCATTACATATGTGCCCCCAAAAGAGCAGGAGCTTCCCTGGGGGCTGGCGGATCCAGCCCCAGCAGTAACCACTGGTTGTGATGGAGAATCAGGAGACAGAGTGGGTGAGGGAGAGGGTCTAGGAGGGAGCCACCAGTCCTGGGCCTGACTCCTGCAGGGTCATATCAGACACTGAACCTGGGTACACGGGGAATCAGTCACTGTCAGTCCCTGCAGTCACTCCCTCCCCTAGACCCTGTCACATCTGGAAGACTCACCCAAGGTGGCAGTCCCCAAGCAGAGGAGAAGACCCCACAGATTCATCTTCTTGACCACAGCTCTGCCTTCCCCAGAGACTCAGCCCTGAGTGAGGAGACAGCTAGGATCTTCATAGCCCAGAGAACATTTGACCCCAGAGACTGATAGGGATTTGCATGAGATGAGCTCCTTGGTTATTAGTGTAGACCTCTGACCTCAGGTCCCCATTGTCCATTGGGGCGCTGAATTCAAACAACCTGTCTGATGGATTGAGCACTGGTCAAAGGGGCGCATTGAAACAGGTCA